GTGTGTGTGTGTGTGTGTGTGTGTGTGTGTGTGTGTGTATGAGGGGAGTGAAGATATGTGTATATTGGGCGCCTTCTGTAAAACGATTGTTATCAAGCCTTTCTCACCGCCCGTTATTAGCGTTCTTGGAGCATTGTGCCCGACTAGCTTTATTTTAGTATATATCAGGGGGGAAGGATCTATGTATGCAACATATGTACTAGATGCTTTACTTTTTCTCAAGAAAAGTAATTATTGTGTAATATAAAATTAATTATTGATCATTTTCACTCTTCTTATTTTTCTCATGATATTTCTGTATATCTCATTCCTTCATTTTTTAGGTTAAATTGTAAACAACAAATATTATTTAAGGATGCACTCCTCAAATGATATTGTAGAGAAATTTCGTGTTTTCATAGTGAGAAAAGAAGAAAAAGCACTGAATTAATTGCTTTTCTGTTCTATTCCCTTTGAGCTGGGAGCATGAAAGAAAAAACAAAAGAGTGGGAGGTTAAAGAGAGAAAAGCAGAATTTTTGTTGCTTGCCTTCCAGCCATATTGTCAAGTGGAAAGCTGTTAACAAAAGTGCATTTTCTCACATTAAAATTAGTTCATATCGCATTCACAGATTGGTCGGGTGAGGGTTGCGAATACTTTTCCAGGAGGGAGAGTAATGCTAAATTCCCCCACTCTCCATCTGGGCGATTAGCCTTCATCATGGACCGCATACCTTGGTTACTAAGACACCCTTCACCACTTGTATACATATAAACATGAACACTTTGGTTGGGTGCGTAATTTTTCGTTTTAGTTGCTTTCGTTTTCGAAACTAATAAAAAAAAATCATGTCTTTGCGAAAATTCCTGTGAATTTCGTGCGCATTAATAAAAATCAAACTTTCTTCCAATTAATTTTCCTCTTTGGAACTTTTCAGGATTTATCTATTTTTATCAGAGAGAACTGGCGTTTGTTAGAATACAACAGGATTGGGTAATTTTTTATGACCATTTAATGTATATATCCGAACAAAAAAGAAATAAAAATTGTGCTATCTATCTATCTATCTATCTATCTATCTATCTATCTATCTATCTATCTATCTATCTATCTATCTGTGTGTAAGTTTGTACCACATGGGGGACGAAATCACCTAGATTTATGATTTGATGCTGCCAAAACAGACTGATATAAGTGTGTATCATATTGTAACATTTATCATTGCAATCAAGTGATTCTATGTTTGTATGTTAATTTTCAGATCGTCTGATACTTATAATTTTTTGCTTGTTTTTGTTTTCACATTTGAAAATGTTTTGTCTGATGCAACCCCGGGGGCTCATTTTGTATGAGAAGAAAACAGGAAAAAAGTAAATAAAGCAAAGGAGAAACATCAATTTGTCCGTTCCAGAAGAAACTGTTAAGAAGGAAACTAGTACAATGGAGGTTTATAGACATTACGCTTCGGTGGTGAGGAAACTGACGAGTCACGAGAATTAATAACGACAGAAAAAAGAAAGAAGATCGAAGAACAATCCAAATTTTTTCATTAAACCTTCAATTTTTTCCTTGGATTGTTTCTCGCCATTTTTATGACGATAGGAAAAACGGAAAGATGAACTGGCAGTTTAGAGCATGAATTCGAGCAAAATCACAAACTGCATCACTTTGAAGTGCGTGCATCATTGTTTACTTGCGACGAGCATTTTCTGAGATGTCTTATCATTTGTGAAGAATGAATCCTTTACAATAATTGTCATTGAATATTTTGAAAAAAAAAATTGTTTGAAATATATAAATCGATATATATATATATATATGTGCCCAGTCAAATTATGATATTTCAAATGGAACCGCGAAATATACATTGACAAGCCGAAAAGATTGCTTGCATAGATTTATTCAACAACATATGTGACATTTTGTTCCACTACCTTTCCCATCTTTGAGACAGCTTAATCATTTTAATCAAAATCCACTTGTCTTTTGAACGCATTTGACGCTTGTGTAGGGCTGTTTTTGTTTTTGATTTTTGGACGAATCCCAGAAAATAAAAAAGCTTCTTTAATTCTGGTGGAAGCTTCTTGTATTTGAAGGAATACGAGAGAGGGACATATTTGTAACAGAAGACTGATATTTCCAACTTAAAGGTGTTGGTTCTCTTATGGATATTAGACTTTGAGAACCGGTTCTTATTGACAGGATTCCGCTGAATTCAATTTGCCGAATTTGATTCAAGGGTCCAAGTTGTTTCATCAATAAGAACTCCCAACAAGAATCTGAAAAATAATGAAATTTTTTTTTTTACTTTAGTTTGGATGAGGAAGGCAACGTTTACGGTTGATGGAAAATTCTTACAGATTCGGTATCATATAGCTATCAAGGAACGAATAAAAAGGGTATAAAACTTGGTTACATATAAAATTATGACGAACAGAAAGTCATTAATTTAAATAAAATAATTAGGACGATTTTTCTTTTTTATTTCTCCGTTTAATTAATTTTTTTCTTTAGTCATTCTATTATTATTTTTTCCGGGTTCTAAATGTTTATTTTCTATTTATTAAATGTCAATATATTTGTATATTATGAAAAAGAATATCTAAATTTAAACCAGTTGGAATTCGGATTCCTGTTTCCTCATATGGGAAACGAACCACCCGCCTCTCTTTCTATGAACTCCCTGAACAAGTTACTGGGAAAAAAACAACGTTCCTTTACTTTATCCCTTACATTTAGTTACTATTCGAAAACCCAGTGTTCAAGCTTAGCCATCATTTCGAATGCTAATTTCTGAGGCAGATTGACCATTTCTACACGGTAGATTGGAGTAGAATCTGGAAGATGTGTATATGTAAAGAGGTTTGTCGGTGGATTTTTCTATATGGTTGATATGTACCTTTTCTTAGGTTGAATGTGATATCCAGAGAATCGACTTCTAGGTTAGTTTTTATGCCTATGTCGAATAAAATATTTTTAAAATTTTTATGATTATTTTTCTAGCTTTGTTTGTTAGTTTCTTAAGATTATGAGACCCTCGTCTCTGAAACACAAATCATTAAATAAACGATAAGAACTCATCTCAAAATACAGAGACGAAAACAAATTTATACTACGTTAATTAAAAATCGAAATGTAAAAACGAAAAGGAAAAATGTAAAATAAACAAAAAAACTTAAATAACTATACAATTAAGTAAATAATAAACAAATTAACAAACGATGGGTTTGGGTTTATTTTGTTTTAAAGCATATCAATCGCAATGGGTATTTAATGCCGACAAAATTTTTAGGATAGGTTCGTATGAATAGAATATGTATTCTTTGTAAGAAATCAGTTTGTAGATCAGGTTTCGTTGACGTATTTTGTCAAGAGGGTTTTTGTCGAGAGTCAAATATATTGCTTGTAATAGTTTTTTCAAAAATGTATTGCCGTTAATTTTACTATAAACAGTTATTTTTATACTTTCATAGTGTCTTGACCCCAGCTTGATGCTTCTTCCGGATATCCCAGTTATATCCCTTTAACTCGAAATTACTTCAAAGGTCTGAACATTTATACTCTTTTGCTGCTATCTAGGTGTTGTTGCTAGACAGTAAATTAATACTCTCGACACAGATATCCATTTCAGTTATAATCAAATTGTGTGTGTGTATGTGTATATTTGTGTGTGCACATGTATATTTTAATTCAATGATAGATCTAAAAAATATTTCTATATAATTAAAAAAAAATTAAAAAATATAATTCTATTTATTCCTGAATAATTTCTTAAAATTTCAATGTAATCTTATAATTAATTGATTTTTGGAGCTTAAAATCTTTATTGCTCAGCCCATAGTAGGCTTTGTCTAGACTGAGTGGGAAAGTAATCTCTTAGTTCAATATCTAAACTTAGTCAAATTATGTGTGTATGTGTATGCGTGTATTTTTATATTTACACGGCACACGCACAAAACAAATATAGGCATATACATTATTGTACCTATGAACACTAATGGGTATGTCCCAATCCTCATAAATATGTTGGACACTATGGTAAGTGCGGGGAATATGCTGGCTAATTAGTCCACAGCTAGCAGTGGTTTACCTACTTCGCGCCGCTGGCGAGTATTGTATTTTGTTGATGTTATAAAGATTACCATTTCATTTCCAACCTCCGTTTTGGGCATTCCTCATTCAGTAACCATTCCTAGGTTACAACAATTATATACGGGCACATAATGCCACACGTAGTGTGTGACAGACAAAGAATCGGCTCTTTTATAATTTATGAACACAAAGTTTTGGTCAAGTACTCTCTGGCTATCTGGCACAATGATCAACATATCTATGGTATCCCATACCAGGCAAAATAATGAACATCTGAAGATGATCAGAGGGTATTTAACCGAAACTTGTTTTTCAATAAACCCAACAATGATAATAAAAAATGAGAATAATATTTCGAATAAATCCAATAAGTCAAATGCGTTATTGTTCGTTATTATTATTATTCAGTTTTTCTTTTCTTAGATTGGTTGCCACACAAAACTGGACCACCCCGTTTACCCTGTTACTTAACCCAGAACTAGGCATTAATGCGAAATTGAACGAAATTTGAAAACGCTTCGCCTATTCCAATTTCCATTCCGATAGCTGTTACACTAGCCGCACGTCCTAAGTTGCATATTAAGGTTTAAATACCAGTTAAAAAAAAATATTTTGTTATTTCGTTCCAGTCTTGTCTTTTGTGATATTTATCAATAAGCGATTTGTTGATATATTTTATAATTAAAATGCTTAATTCTTCAAATAAAAGTATTTCCTGTCCGAAATGTGGGAACTACTTTAGCGTTTACATGATAGCTTGGGAGTAAAGGGAAGTAAGCAATGCATAAAGGGAAGTAACTCATGCTGACATCTTAAAGAGTAGATCTTGGAAATCTAACAGATATTATAATATTCTAACATGTATACGAAATAAACAATATCCAAAGTGTTTACAACTATCGAACTGTTTCCATTTCAATTTTGGTAAGGCTTGCGGTCATATCACGTTGAAACATCGGTTCTCGTACGATCACCGAAGTTAAGCAACGTAAAAGCTGATCAGTACCTATATTGGTGACCGCTTGCGAATACCAGGTGCTTGGATGTGCGGTTGGTGTAATGGATAACGGCTCAGTATACGAAATCGAAGAGCCGATTTCCAATTTAAGGCGGGCTCGTTATATTCGCTTACGTGCAAACACGGAAAGTTTATGAATTCACCTCTTCTCCCCCTATGAGTTAATTAGTAGAAGTTGTATCAGTCAATCATTATTATCCCCAAATAATTCTTACAATCCAAAAGTATTTTCTGGCTTTAAATTACCTGTAAAAGGTTGATAAGCCATCAGAAACAAATTAATCAATAAACAAGCTTGTTAATAACACTGGACGGCATACATGTCGTTAAACAAAGAAACGACTGCTTAGTAAAGAAAAAGAACGTCGGGGTGAATGCGTGTGACAACCCACGAAATCTAAAATTGCTTTCGTGCAAATTAGTAACGGATTACTGACTGAATATGATTACTGATTGCTGTATTGTCAATGGTCAATGTGTATTATGAAAGCGACAACGAATGACGCTGACAATTATCAATGTTTTCTTTGAAGTTCTGTCGTTGCTTGAAACTTCACAAATCTATCCCTTTAATTAAAGTTCTCTTTATTCAACTCGTCGATTTTATTAACTACCAATTTATACTCTCAATATTTATTAAGATCTATTTACTAGAGCGCCAGGCCAATTAGACTAGAGAGCGTAGGAAGATTGTATTGCGCCACTCTTTCATATAAGGAGGGCTTACTTGCCTTAAAAATCTGTAATTTTGATATTCACATGGTTTCGAACTGGTGAAGAATATGCAACTATCACACACTCCCGGCAGACCCCACTAACTTTTCCTTATGAAATAACTTTCGGTTAAAAGACATATTGTATTGTTCAGTGTGTAAAAATTCAGTTAAAAAACAAAACTTACTTGTGAAATGTTGGTTGATTTTCTTCTGTCGAGTTTTGGAAATTTAGAAAATTAAACCATTCTCCAGTTATAAATTTATGTTTCATGTTGATATTTCTTAAATTTTAAATTACGAATTCACACCGTTCTTAAAGTAGCAGACAAAAAAACAAGAGAAAGAGAAGTGTGTAAAAGGGTAATGATTGCGTCATCATTTGCACTAGCCAATCAAAGTCGATAGCAGTATATCCACAGCGTCTTTATCTCTAATAAAACCCTGAAAATGTGTTGGTTGGCGGCTTTCAGTATGGCTCGATGGTTGATTTTCTTGTCATACATAGTAGTGTAAAGTTTGATTGGCTTTTCTCTGCCTTGGCCTTTGTAAAAGACTAAAAAGTTCTCTTATGCAATGTTTTATCTGTGTATAATCCGAGACAAATGTTCCATAGATGTTAAGTATCACCAATACAAATGAGATCTTCCATTCTTAATGGTTGGCCCGAAACATTGTAAGCATTTATTATAAATCTTTTTGATTATATATAGTTCCATTTTATGGAAAGATTCTCATTTGTGTTTGAGATTTTTTTAATGAAGACTGAAAAGTTCCATTTCCATTGAGAATTTTGATTGCATTTTTTTGCATATATATTATATATATATATATATATATATATATATATATATATATATATATATATATATATATATATATATATACGTTTTTTTTTTCCGCTTTGCCAAAGGGAATTTTCCGCCTTTAAAACAGTTTTACTTGTTCAGTGAAATAAAAATATATTTTCTTTTTTTTTTTAAGATTTGTTACGAATTACAAAACAAAACTGCAGAAAGCACCCAATAAAGATTAAAAAAAAATTATATTCTTAGTTTTAAGTATTGCGACATTCTGGGGTACTTCGACGTGGTTATAATGGTTAGCAAGCTTGTCTCGCTCGAATAATGAATTCGATCCTTACTGATTCCATACTTTTGGCCTTCTGCTATGCTTCGTAAATCGCTATTCCAATATTTTGCGTTAATTTACCCCATCCATTCCGTTATGAGAAAAAAATCCATGACATTACATTCTTCTTTTAATAAAGATTTCTTCTTGATATTGTTTGAAAAATGATTTTAAAAATGTCTGCTTGCAGACGATAATTATTCTGCAGTTTTTACGCGGATTTTTTTTCTCAACAAAACAATAAATAAAGGCTTCAGATTGTCGCTATTATCGTATATTATCCTTTTAGTTTGTGGATATTTTTTCTGTTTTATAAATTTAAGAAAATTCCTATTTCAGTATCATTTTTTTCGCACATTGCTTCCATTGCGGGTGAAACAATCGCGTTAAATTCTGGAGAAGGCGATTTGCCAAAAGCATCATGTGACCAGCAAGACGTCATCCTCATCATCACCAAGTTAACCGCTGAGGCCATTATTATGAAAAGACCATGGGGAAACAAATAAGAATGAAAACAGACAGCTTGAACTCTTAACTCACTTTGCCCCCAGCAGAGAATGAAAATTTTTAACTACGAGAAGAATAGTAATAACAATAACAATAGCCTCGTCAATAAGCAAGATTAGATCTACTTTCTGATACGATCGATTCTATTTTAGTATTTAAAATTGCTTTTACTTTATTACTTCACATTGCCAACCTCTCACATCATATGATCTTTCTTTCTTTCTGCATTGAACTTCAATCTACGTCTGTGCCATCGACCTTCTTCTTCTTCTTCTTCTTCTTCTTCTTCTTCTTCTTCTTCTTCTTCTTCTTCTTCTTCTATCCTGTCCGACAATCAATTGATTGGGCCTGTCTTAACGAACAGCTAAAAAGATAATCCTATCAAGAAACCAAACGTTTTCTCCTCCATCATCGTCTCCATTTTCAGATCGTTTTGTACCTGACATTTTGATCTCATTGTTAAATTCACCTCTCACTGCTACATGGCCGTTTTTTGTTTAAATATTGATTCGTCTGAGCGTGTGTCAAAGTATGTGTAGGTGTTAGTGTTCACATGGGAATCGTGAATAGATGTATAAATGCGTTTTTTTTTAGAAACATCCACCCGGGACATTTTTATTCCGACAACCCTTTTTATTAAATATTCAGGAATTTACCTCCCACCAATCAATTTAGGCTATGATCATTTTAGGACAAAGAATTTCATTACTGAAAATTATAACCATACCAGTTCGATACCTGTCGTTTCGCTGACGGCGGCCTCTTCTTTGTGCCGTGACTCTTCAGGACCTTGTCGATCATGGCTCTCCACAATTTCTTGTCCTTTGTAGCTCTTAATAATTTTATCTTGTCATCTCTCCTAAACCTTGCTCCACCATCCATTTACTCAAGCTCGCTAGGTAGTTCATGCGTTGTTTTCATCCGTACTTCTTGTCATGTGAGTATCACATTTTCCAAGTCGTCTTTCCTCATTACGTGCACTAGAAATTTGAACTATCTCTTCCTGATGTAAAGTATAAGTGTCCTTTTTGTTTTCATTTTCTCTCAAGCTTCGTTGTTGCTCACATGTTCGGTCCATGGTATTCTCAGCATCCTTTTGTAGAACCAAATTTCTGTTGCTTCAAGTCTCTTCTTTATCTGTGAGGAGGATTGTCGAGCATTCACTGCCATATAGGAGGACTGATATTACAACCCAGTTCAGTATTCTTTTCTTTGTTTCTAATGAAATGTTTTTGTTTCTTAACACTTGCTTAGCTTTTGGAATGCATCCTTCGCACAACTTTCAAATCTAAATTGTATGTTCATTTAAAATACTATATTTATAAGAAAATAAACTTCTAACAGCCACTTTTCTCCTTGCTCGGCTACTGTTGACAGACAGAAAGTGAAATTAGCGCTCGAGACACGGATGTCCGTTTCGACTTTATTCAAACTGTGGGCGTCTGTATGTTTGTGTGTATGCATGTGTATTTTAATATAATGAAATTAATTGGGCCTTTTTTCTCTCATTCAATTTGCGCTGTTTTTACCTGAATTCACCTTTTGTGGCTATTAATTTTTCAACAAATTTAACCTAAATTCACTTTATCTTACGTTATAAACTGGACATTTACGTGGGTATAAGAGAATGATATTATATGAATAGATTCGTATGGATAGATAGAATTGAATAGATTGATATCAATAGATTCGTATTGATAGATAAAATTGAATAGATTGATATCAATAGATTCGTATTGAAAGATAGAACTGAATAGATTGATATCAATAGATTCGTATTGATAGATAGAATTGAATAGATTGATATCAATAAATTAGCTACTATCACAGATTCGTGATACCTAATTGAATTAAAAAAATGAAAAAAATTCTTGAATCTTTTATTTTAGCTTTAATTTCAAGCTAATAGATTAAATTTAATATTTTCATTAAGTAAATATTTTGCTGTATTACAAAACTAATTTAAATTCACTGGAAGGAGTTTTCGTTTTGAAATGGCTAAAGTTGCTTATTTTAGCACCATTTTTAGCCATCTTTTATCACAATGTAATTCTCTTTATTAAAAAAATCTTTAAAAAATATAACATACTTTTCTGAAACTTTATTTGAGGAATGTTAGATGATTTAATGTTTAATTAGATATTACTTTTCGTTTAAAATATCACAGAAGAGCATTTTTAACACGGCGGTAGCTGTTTATTTAAGGTGTTGACAGGTTGATATTTTGACTGACAGACGGGAGTTTTTTGCTAAGGTTAACATAAAAATTACTTGGGTAATATAACGTGAGTGCTATTTTTATATAATTTTTAATTACTCATTAATCTTAAAAATTTAGGAAAATATTCTCCGTAATCTAATTTTTTATTGAATTTAATGTAGTTTGGTTTTAAATTTACTATATAACGCCTTTCGTCGCCGCCACTAGGTGGTGTAACCATGTTTTAGTGGTCTAGTCCTCAGGGTCTTAGAACGACGTTTTAACCACAGGGCTAACTTTGCACTAGTTAATGCTGATGCTGGTCCAAACTGGATGTTGGTCACTGGTGAATACATAAACCAGATCATCTTCTCATTTTAACCTTCCGAGCGATGCATAAAAAATATTTTCCAATTTGTTTTCGTCAATGAAAATATATTTGCTTACCTAAATTCTCAATAAAGAGACAAG